CTAATTTTTATAGATTAATGCGTGAAATCTGTAGCAACCGTATCACACGTCCGTCTCCTTCAGCGGGCGCCGAGCGAATGCCGAAGTGATGACGTAGCGACATAAGTACGTTCCCCATCGCTTTTCGCCGCGCCAGCCTTCCCCCCGCTTCTCGCCGCGCCCCCCTTGCCCTCGCTTTTTGCCGCGCGACGTTTCCCCTCGCTTTTCGACTGTTTAGATTACACCCAAATACTGCGTATGAAAAATATTCAACGATTTATTCATTTATTTGTATTTTACATGATTTTGATAAACGGGTATCGCCGTACATTTTGCGCTTTACTTTACGGCATCTCTAGCACTGTTCAATCCTATATTATTTGCTCGATTCTTGTAAACGTAATCAGTAATTATTCGCGTGTGTGGAATATCTTTGATGTTCAACATTATGTCGTGTGTGTGTGTGTGGAGTATCTTCGATGTTCAACATTATGTCTCAATTTTTATTGTTCTTTTAAATGATTCATACTTAAATAAAAGTTGATAATATTCTATACATTCTTTATATAAAGATAAATGCAAACATTTCTTTAATTATAAAATAATTTGGATTGAATATAATAAAAAAAAATAGATATAAGTAGCACTTATATATTTAGAGATATAAATTAGAGATATATCTAAGAGCGATATTCATAATCTGTTCTTATTTCAAGATTGTCTTAAGTAATGTCTTAAGACGCTAATACTGCTCTCGTAACTTCTTAAGATATGACTTCTTAAGACTGTACTTAAGATGGTCTTGAATATAAGCTCCGACTATGAATACCGGTCTAAGATATAGATCAATTGTGTGTGTAACGATCCAAAAAATAAAACAAAAATCGTATAATAAAGCGCTGTGTAATATTCATCGAAGAATATTAAACTAAGATATTCATGAGCTGCGTGAATGCATAAAGAATCTAAAAAATAAAGTAAAAATCGTGCAATAAAGTCTATTGATTGAAATAAATGTAAAGTATATATTATTTTACTTATTCGTAATATTCGTTATTATTTCGAAAGTTAGACAGTTGGCGCGCGACCTTGTGGGGGGGATGGTACGGGGTGGCACGGAGCGACGCGTGACGTTTAAGCGTAGTTACCGCGCAGTCATTCCGTTCCCAAGGTTCGTGCGGGTAGGTTGCTGTGCCGCGTGCTGCTCTTCTTCACACTTTTTTAACAAATATAATCGCAATAAATGCGTAATACGAATCGTCGCACTTCAGATTCCAAAAACTTACATAAAATATTTAATAAGAAGGTCAGAAAAAGTTTTTTTTAACCCGTAATATCTTAATTCGTGTCCTGTGCATTTCTTTTCTTTGGAATATTAAGAGCACTTGGTTAAATACTCTTTTCTAAAAAAAACTTTAGTATCTAGAGAACAAGTTTTGTGCGTTGCCGGCTTCAATTCGTTTTGTTTCAGAGTTTTACATTTTTATATGAAAAAGTGCATTTTCTCATTTTGTGTGTTAACTATATTTAGTTATAACAATTTATTGAATTTATATACAATTTGTTATAATACACAACTTTACAAATGCTTTCTAAAGATGTAAAAATCATCATTTAATAATTTTTATGTACTTGTAAAAGTGATGAAAATTAATCCAGAACACGAATGATTCAAAATGTGTGTTGGGAAAAAATAGATATTGTTATGTAGTTTATATCCACTTCTTCGAGCGGACAGTAGTGCGCGGGAGTATTTTATATATATATATGGTTATAGGAAAAAAGTTCTCATGTCCTCTCTCAAGTTTCTCTCTCTCTCTGAGGTGCGTTCCAAAATCTAACTACAGTAATTAAAAGTCTACAGTTGATGTTACGTAAACTATAGAGTTTTGGTAACTGTAGTTACGTTTTGGAACGTAGCCCTGGTAGCCAGTTGCATGGAGATTGATGGAGATCCGGCTTTAATCGAGGCTAAAGGGTCTCTAAAAAATCGAGATTGTCGACGAAGAGAAAAATAACATATATGGCAGGATAGGGGCGCGTGGAGTTAAAGCGTAATTTGTGCAACGATTTCATAAGCTTGCGGCCGTCAAGCAAGACTCCTTGAAATACATCGTATTCGTTACCGCCACACCTGAAGCCACATCTGCCGTGCCGTTCGAGATTATGAGCTGCGGCGGTCTTAACCTTTAATGACAGTTTCGTATATTCAGGTAACGTACTTCATTGTATCTGAGAATTTGTGTGTATATGATGCTCGAATCCTCGAGCTCGCGTTGCGGAAGTCTCGACGTTACGCAGCCTCCGCCGTAGATACACATCTATGGCTAGGTTAGGTTTCGGGCGCAATACGTCAGCCACGAAGAGCTTCTATGCTGGGATGATTTATTGCATTATTTGGTTGTTAATATTGTTATACAATGATTTTCTACTGAATATTTTTATTATGCTTTTATTACTTTTATTATTATGTATAGATTATGGACGCGTGTGTTATTGATGAAAAATTGTACGATATATTTATTAATGTATGTAAATTACACTTGTATTATTGATAAAAAAAATATGCGAGATATTACGAAGAAAATAGAAGTTGCTTAATTGAACGATCTGGTGTAAACTGGATGCTTGTATCGAGTTGAATTTTTTTATTTTAATTGATTAGGATATACGCTTAACTTTTGTATGAATATTGGTATGAATATGAAACTTTTTAGTCATTGTTGATCATTCTTTGGATGGTTGTAGGTTTTAATTAAGTTGTGCTGTATGTTTTTCTTGCTTGATTGCTTGCATTTTAATAAATTATTAGAAATTATGCGTCCAGAACTGTGTATGTTTTGATTCTTATCAATTTTCATCTAGATATCATTTTATCCTTATTGTTTACCAAATGTTACAGCTGGAGCATAGATCTTTGCATAATATGTAATGCATAAAGTTTAAGAGAATTGATCAATCAAAGTCTTTTCCATGAAGAACTCTGATTGCTTGATTCTCTAACTTTATACTAGGCCTGTCTAATTTTAGTTTCTAAATCAAAATACGAAACCATCAACAAAAAAAAAATCAATATGGATAAGATTTCAGGTACTGTAAAATATTTATATGCGTTTCAGCGACGTTTATCAATACTTTACAGTCCCTGAAATCTTATTTATATTGATTTTTTTGTGTCGATGGCTTTAAGTTTTGGCTCCGGAGTCCAATTGGACGAGCCTGTTTTATGCATTATACGTTATGCAATGGTCTGTACCTTGACCTTTAAACAAATGGTTTCCACAACAAATAGTTTCAACAAACAACTTTCCAGCAAGAAACACAGTCTAACAAAGTAATTATTTCATTTTTGTTTAACGTTATCAAATAACAAGGATGTAATGATTTATTGTGTTATACTGCATTAGATATACAATGTTATCTGTGTCTTTTGCTGGAAAACAAAAGCTAAGGATGACATGATACCTGAATGACACTTGGATGGAAATTTGAACACGGGTTTATGTGATGCAATTTTAGTAATTTATTAGAACACAAGCAATCCAGCAAGAAAAAATATATCATGTGCCACTGGTTTTACATATTGTGGCTATTGTGTTTTAGGTCACATAAGAAACACCAAAAATGCAGACGATAAAGTGTGTTGTGGTAGGCGATGGAGCAGTTGGTAAAACGTGTCTCTTGATTTCGTATACCACAAACAAGTTTCCTTCTGAATATGTGCCCACTGTTTTTGACAACTATGCAGTAACTGTGATGATAGGAGGTGATCCATATACATTAGGATTATTTGATACAGCAGGTAAAAGATCTTCCTTGAATTATTTTTTAAAGAGGCAGTTTATTCTATATAATATTTCCTAACTCAATTTTACTTTCTGTGTTTTTTAGGTCAGGAAGATTATGATAGATTGCGTCCTTTAAGTTATCCTCAGACTGATGTGTTTCTTGTGTGCTTCTCGGTTGTGTCACCGTCATCATTCGAAAATGTAAAAGAAAAGGTAATGTATCTGTCCATTACGTTCCTGTATATGAGCGATCAATTAAAATTCTGTTGTAATAACATGTTGTTTTGCAGTGGGTACCAGAAATAACGCATCATTGTCAGAGAACTCCATTTTTACTCGTCGGAACTCAAATTGATTTAAGAGATGATGTCGCAACAACAGAGAAACTTGCAAAGAACAAACAGAAGCCAATATCTGGCGAGCAGGGGGAAAAACTTGCTAAGGAACTCAAGGCTGTAAAATATGTAGAGTGCAGTGCTCTGACGCAGGTAAACGAAAATCAGTCATTTGGTTTTAATTATAGGCCTTATCTGTAAAATATTGATTGACATATTTACAAAATTTTTTTATGATACAGAAAGTGTTAAACTATTATTTTAAATCTGTGATAAACTTATCAGTAGCTATACTGATTGTGAGTAAAATAAAAGAGAATTATATTTTTTTATTATATTATTTTTAAATAATAATATCGTAATATGAAATTGTGATTTTTTTGCTATATCAGAAAGGATTGAAGAATGTATTCGACGAAGCTATTTTAGCTGCATTGGAACCACCCGAGCCAGTGAAGAAAAGGAAGTGTATACTTCTATAAGGTGACAAATTATTGCCATCGATGGAATTTATGCTCGATTTCAAAACGACACTGTAGTATCAGGCGACGATCTTGTGTGTAGTATACTCTATATTAAATAGAATTAAATTTGCCTCTATAGTTCGTAATCGTATTTGAAAAGGATAAGCAAATAGTGCAGTCGACTGCAAATACATTCCACGAGACATTGAGGCGATATAATGACTGAGTTTATAAAAAACTTTTCTATCAAATAATAACGACTGTTTTTTCAAGAAAAGTTATTGCACAAAGCTTTCATTTTTCCAATACGACTTTCGAGAAAGAGGCGATTTGGAAGGCGCCGGGGATTTTCAAATAAATCTCGAAATCTCGTTCTAAACTCGTTGACTTTACACTTAATAGGAATGAAGATATGGAGAAACAAATAAAGATTGGTGCTATTGTTCAACATTATTTTTTTAAGTCGAAACATTTACCGAGATGAGGTATCTGAGTCGCATCGATATCTGATAGAGTACTCATTTGAGTAATAGGAGTGTTCAAGTATATTTCTCTAAAGCGATGATTGTTTCGGTATTAGAATGAAATTTTCATTTTTGGCGACGTCAGTATTAGAAACTCTATGGTGAATGTATAAAATGATAAGTATCATAGCAGTATCACTAGATATGTTATTTCAATTACACGTGACACAAAAAGACTACTACTAATTCTAAACCTATTTTATTATAAAGTATCTTTATTGATATTGGAGGCTCTTATCGCATTTTCGGCACTGCAAACTTATTTGGATATTAGTATAATTCCAAAATGGAAGTTACTATAATGAGTAATTTTATTATTTGTTCTTTTTAAAGTGTTATCGCCAAAATTTTCTATCAATAATATTAATAATAAATCTTCGATTACATCTTTTAAATTATATACGGCAGCTGTCTTGAAGAGGGAAAACTTTCGAGAAAACCGACCAATTTTTTTGTATATCTTTGAATGCTGGTTTTTTATATAGCAAAGTATTTTCAGCAACTTTACCCTTTAATAAATCAGAATTAAAGAGTTTCTAAACAGCAATGTTAGCCTCCCTTCCCTAACTGTACTGGATGCGTTTAGTACATGATGAAAAGCTTTAAGATTGCTTAAATGATCATACGAAGGAAGAAGGAAGAAAAGGATTGCCTGCAGATGAGGGAGAATAAGATAACTGGGAAGTAAAACAACGGTACGCTGTACCGATTTTGAACAACGTAAACAATATTTAAGATTTCCACTAAGATTGTATACACGATTTCTTTCAATTATTATATAATGTTGCATGCAACGAATTTATAAGCGATCATCCGGTAACATGCGACCGGCTGATTTTTTGTAATTATCTGAATTGTCGCATATCGTTAATACTATTAACATGATGCTCGTTGCGATGCATTCGATATATGAACATCGAATGCAGGGGTTGTTGGGAGAGAAAGCATTTTATCAAAAAGGATTAATCAACTTTTACACTACAGATTCAGTTAAAAGTAACAGCATTTATTAGCACTATAATGTGTCGTAATATATAGACACGATCATGTAATGAAATATTCGCATAAATATATTTATACCATGTATACGACGTCCATTTGTTTTTTATTCACTAAGGTATCTGATTCTCTCGGATTAGTGGATCTTGTATTATCTTTATCCCCTTTATTAAAAGCAGTTACTATCCCAAGAAGTAAGAATTATTCTACAAGAGATTGCGTTTAGATCGATATTGAAAATTATAGATAATATTTATAAGATTAATTAATAAGTTAATAAAATTCTGCTACATTTCATAATAAAGTGGAGAACTAATAATTGTGTGAGTTAAATAAGATTAAGGTAAATTTGTGAATATATGATGAGAATATTACATTTTCAATAAATATGAATATATATCCCGTATATTTAGAATTTTATATACGCTGCCAATATTCTTTTATGAACAATTTTGAGAAACATAGTTTATTTAGAAAATATTGCATGTTCCAGGAAATTTGATATTAGATATTCGATGAAAGACATTAGTTATTCGCTATATCAAATTCGAATATCTGATTTTCTACATAAAATTTATATGAAATTCTTTAATTAGTTACATTCGAGGAAATATTCTAGATTATAATAGTGTGTCAGATATTAAATATTAGAAATCGTACACACATTAATATACCGGCGCAATTATTACTTTGAAATATTAATTGCGCGTTAAAATACGTGATGTTATATTTGATGCATCTTATTAGTCATATTTCGATGATTCGCGACAATGTAGACTATAATTATTATTTTCAATTCGGCAGGCAGGTATATTCTGTTTTTTTGACTCACGTAGTTATGTCGTAACTATTTTCAAAATTCGCGTCTGATCGTGCATAATTTTTCATATATGCATACATTTTTTTCATCGAATATCATTAAAGAAGTCGAATCAAGCGAACTTTAAGAACGCAGAATTTTAAGTAATTTGTTAAAATAAAAGCACACAATTCAGCAGAAAAACATGTCAGACAAAAATGAAAATTTCACTGTAGTGTTAGAGTCTATCCAGACGAATTTTTGCATAGCCATATATAAGCCCATACATAAAAAAATTATTCCAGTAATTTCTATTATAAAGACGCACGTCAAATGCAATTGGCTAATTTTCTTTATGCATGCGTTTATGTGACTATGCAAGTTTATTTGGATAGACTCTCGCTTTAAGCACGTGTTCATAGTATTCGATTCTTATATTAAGACCGTCTTAAGCAATGTCTTAAGATGCTAGTACGGTATTCAGAAGCCGTTCTTATTTTAACATTGTCTTAAATAATGTCTTAAAATACTATTAAGACTCTCTGATTGGTTCATGGTGTCTTAAGACTGTACTTAACCCAAGGAGAACAAGAATGTCATATCGAATTTATGTCATTTTTCGGTCATGATAAAAATCTCAGATGATCTAAGAATAATTTTATATATAAAATCATTCTTAGATCTGAGATCGAAATTTTTATCATGACCAAAAACTGACATAAATTTGGTTAATATGACGTCAAATTGACATTATTTTCATTTTTTTATTTTTCTTGGGTAAGACAGTCTTAAATATAAGAATTGACCATCCTCTAATCGGTTGATGACATTTTAATATTATACTTAAAACAATCTCAAATATAAGAATCAATTATAAATTGCTAATTTTACGGTATATGTTATCTGTGTCTATTTCTAATTGGAAAGCACCCTTTAATTTTTCAGACTTGTCGCGCGTCTATGTTTCATTTGATTCGCGTAGTCACGTCGCGACCACTGTCCTCGCAAGAACAGTGTGTGATTCTGATTACGTTTTCGGCACATTTCTCTCAATCGAGAGCAAGTCCCGCGTATAAACGAACGTCAAGAGTGGCGAATTATGTGATGGGTAAGCTTTGAGAATAATATCAGATAAGAATATCAGATAGTGTGTTAAGTGTGTACAATTGCAATTAATCTTTAATCGGTTTTTAGCAACCGGAGTATTATTGCCGCTCGGCCAATGTAAATCCGTTTATTCAACATTTGAACATTTTACATATTTATTACAGCACATTTCGTTTCGCATCATTTAATTGACTAATAAGTTGTATCGCATGTTTCAAAGCATAAAGGCAACTCTTGGATGAATCGAAGTATTTATTTTAAATAGCGACCGTTGATGTTATCATGGTGACGTCACGCGCTGCACGAAGTTGGCAACGCGTCACTGGAACTTTTCGAGACGCATCCGCGTTGCAGCAACTTCACGCGGATTCTCGCGAACGCTGCACCGACAATAATTGACGATCGCGACGTTCCGTGGAATATTTGTTCGTTTGAAGTGTGAATTTTGAAACTTTGGGACGCAATTTGATAAGATGATACGCGTATGAACACGGATAATTGGTATCAGAAGAGTCGGCAAGTGCGGACTAAAAATTTTTTAAAGTTTGACGAAACTAACCGACTTTTGTGTTTAGCTCAAGTACTTTTTGACCATATTCGACCGTTACTGGTCGATCTCAGTTGAGAGACTGATAATAAGTGCCATAAAAAAGAAAAAACTGT